GCTTTGCCATCACAGGAATAAGTTACATTTAAATTTCTGCATTTTCTATAAACATGATTTTAATGTTAATAACTTAAAGGTTCAGTAACTTAGTGAAATAAATTCACACTGAATACATATTTTTAAAAAGGGACCCAATTAATTTAATTTATTAATAGTGGAGTATTTCAGTACTCGCATTACTTAAGTTATATTTATTTCAAAATTAATAAAAAATGCACATCATTTGCAGTCTTACTTGATTGTGGTGTTAATTATCGAATGATTGGAGCCTTGGATATGTGATCATAAAGAGTTCAAAATCAATTCAGATTCAAACAGATCTGCATTAGTTATCAGTGTAGTGTGTCTGTGTGTATGTTTATTGTGAGGCATTTCTTATGCGTTGTGAGCGTTGTCTTAGCGGGAATGTTTTTGCTCTCAGTCCATCCCAGAAACAACCGTGGCCTGAATCTTCTGGTAGCATTAAGATAAAACTGCCCCATTGCCGAGTCTGGCAGGAGGACAATGCTTTGACCCAGTGTTGAAACAGGGGCTCTTTGAACTGTGTGCTGTGAGACATGGTGCTGGAATGAGTTTTAGAATCCTGGTATATTAGTATGAAGGCCTGGCTCATGAATATTAATTAGCCCATGTTGACATTGCCAGGTAGTCTTGCTAGACTGTCTAGTCATGTAACCTATTTAATATTTATGAGCCAAACCTTTGCGGATACACTTGAATTGCATATAGATGTTCCATGCTGATTTGGCATTGAGATACAATATTAGATCAGCTTTACATTTGCTCATTTCTTCCTGTTTTAATAAACTAAGCAATGTAATAATCCTGAAATCAAATGTGTAACTCATGTTTAGGATGCCAGATTTAACTATTTACTGGCACAATTTACCTACAGTATAGGCCAACAAAACATTTTAATATCAGCCATTTAAATTGGCGACATTTAAAGACATTTCTATTGTTCAGCTGCATTTCCTATGGTAATACTCCATGCCCTCATAGAGGATTCTCTGAAATGGGTTGCATGTGGAACGAAACAATAGCAGTAGGAAATGAAGGGAGATGTGTGGAACGGTATGAGAGTGGATGAAGAAATTCATTCCTATATCTTTGTCTTCTGCTTTCTATCACTCTTTATTTCCATGTAGAAAGCTGTATTTTGTATTTCCACCTCTTTTATCTATAAAACAAAGACTCAAGCAGATGTCCAGGGCTGCTTTGATTCTCTCTGTATGAAGCGAACAATGTCTGATCATAAGAGAGACATTGATGTGAGAAGAGAGCACAGTGGCCTTGCTGCCAGCAGACAGACAGATAGGGTCGCAATATCTGCTCAGTCTGTGCTAATTTTGGGCACTTCAGCCAATGTGTAAGCTATTTGCATATTGTCTCAGTCCTGAATATCAGACAGTTAGAAGATAAATATTTGACTGCCATAAATTGATTGATCTGGAGAGTAATGTGGGTAAATGGGAACATAGCATTGCTCAGAATTTACAGAAGCTTCATAAAAACACCTTTCATATGACCATGTTTGTGTTTTATGGGGTTATTGGTATTGTAAAATGCAGTTTAAATGGAAATTTTTGGAAATGCATTATATGACTGTGTCAGCTTGGTCGATTACCAGAAGTGTTTTTTTTTTTTGTCACCAAATACTTTGTTTTTTTTATTATTATTATTAGCAATTTGCAGAATTTTTTTTAAAGCATTTATTTTATTTCTTTGATTTGTAAATGTATATAAAATGTATTATAATTGTAAATTATAACAGTACAAATATTTGTTTATGGTTACAGTACATTTATATAAATGTTTATATACATTTAAATTTAAAAGAACAGTTTTCTATTTTAATTTATTTTCAAATTATTTATTCCTGTGATGGTAAAGCAAAATTTTCAGCAGCCATTACTCTAGTCTTCAGCGTCACATGATCCTTCAGAAATCATTCTAATATTCTGATTTGCTGCTCAGGAAATGTTTCTTGTTATTATCAATGTTGAAAACAGTTGTGTTGCTTATTTTTAATTTTTTTACTGACTCCTTACTGACACCAAACATAGTGTGAGTGTTTTTTAATACTTCTATACTTAAATTCGCTGTAGTATTCTCTCCTTTTCTTTGTTTTGATCTCTTGTTTATGTTAGTATATTTTACTGTTTCATGATTTGATGTAATGTGCAGATTGGGTTCAGGGTCCTGTAATGTTTCTAATGATTTGTTAGCTTTCTAAAGCTCTGTTGCAGTGGGGTCGAGTCTGACTCTGCAGTGTGTTAATCAATAGGCCTCAGGCAGCCGTCTCATGCGCAGCCTGTGTATGGATAGAGGAAAAGACTCTCTCACTGTCACAGTCTTCCACAAACAAACTGCAGAAAGATAGATAGATTATTTGAGTCTAAAGGCTCTGAGGGAAATAGGATGCACACATACACACAAGTCAGTAAGTACAAAGCAGTTCTTGTTCACAGTGGTGGCTCCTAATTATCTCCCGTCTGAGGAAATTGGGCTCCCTGAGAAACACACTTTTTTTTCAATTAGCTGGTCACGTATGAATGGCTTCATTGGCACCTTGCCGCCAGTAATATTCACACCCTCCACACAGTTAATGCCAGAAAAATGCCACGGAGAGCATGATCAAGGCATAACTGACCCTCATTAGAGCCCAAAATTAAGTCGAGGACTGATAATGTTCGTGCGGAGCCTTTAATTTTTCTACTTGTTTAAGTAGGATGAGGAATGAGAGCAATGAAATTTGATTGGATGCATATATATATATAAAACCAGCTATATTGCAATGTTTTCTTTTTTGAACACTTCAAGCATGTTTTTTTTTGTTTGTCTGCTTAAAGTTTTTTGCTTTTATTATTTATTCATTGTCATATTAATAGAATACAGTATATTAATATTGATTATTGTAATGTTATAAATATTATTAGAATTTTGAAAATATTATAATATTTTACAGATACATTTAAAAAAAAAAAAATGCAGAAATAATATAAAAATTCAATAAATAAAATAAAAAATGTACTAAAAAAATTCTAAAAATATTTGACAACAGAACACACTTGCGTTAAAGGGTTAGTTCACCCAAAAATGAAAATTAGCCCAAAAATTACTCACCCTCAAGTCATCCTAGGTGTATATGACTTTCTTCTTTCAGACGAATCCAGTCGGAGTTATATTAAAAATTGTCTTTGATCTTTCAAGCTGTTTAATGCCACTCAGCGGGTGTTGCATGCATCAGTCCAAAAGAAGTTAAATAAAAAGCGCCCATCCATAAAAAAAGTCTCTCACACGGCTCCGGGGGGTGAACAAAGGCCTCCTGTAGCGAATCGATGCGTTTTTGTAAAAAAAATATCCATATTCTAAACATAATAATCACTTTAATGTAGCTTGCGCCAACAGTCCTACACGGAAGCAGCTCCGGGC